CACCTCATAAACAAATGTCATAAAACGTATAAATAAACCGGGGGAGAAAAAACATACACCGATTGACAATCCTCTGCGTAAAGTACCAAGAGAAGGTGTAGATGGTCACACACACACACACACACACACACAACAGCATGCAAAAATTAATCAAAATCTGTACATTCTTCTTATTCACTGCATACATAAGATTGTCCATTCGGATTTCAGAGATAGGGTTCAGTGAATTCCCAGGTGCCTGGAAAAATACAAAAATGGGAAAAGTGGTTGGTGAGGCTGGGATACAAACACTCGATATCCCGGCCGCCATTGTGATGACGGTGGATCTCTGTTTTGGCAGCGGTTTCAGCTGATCATGCAATATCCTTAGGTACGTCGAAGCTGTCTGGCCATGAAAATAAGAATACTATCCACAGTAAACAAACAACCTCTCATCACCGTAACACAACCAACAACATTTTGTGATGTCCACATATTCATCACGATTGAATACCACTGTCCCTTTCGATTTCTTTTTCCATTAATCATACATAGCTAAAAATTGCTTCATAGCTAAATATCATTTAGAGCTGCGTGCTCCATGCGGGAATATCGAGAGGTGTCCTCCGATGACACTCATCTATCACGAAGAGACTGCATTTTGAAGTAGTGTGATGGCTTGTGCACCTCTCTGACACAACGAGCTACACAAGATCGTTTTTCGTGATAACTAAAGGCTTTGTTTGAAAACCCTAATCGTTCTCCTGCTGAGTGGCTGGCCACCCTAGCAGTACCCGTCCATCAAATCCAATGCATACACAAACTATCAGTAATTCCTTACTGCATCGGTCGTCGCGCAGGATAATCAGGACCGCGCTGCGCATCGAGCGGGGTGGGTAGTTATAAGTGGGCTACTGCTCAGATATCCCAACTTTCGTTTATTTATTTGTCTTCCGTACTCACCCTGTCCATTTGCCCCGGTTTCCGACCTGTAATAGGCCCTCAAGCAACTTGGATGTGACTCACCAAAGGTCATTTCCAAATAGCACTGCAAGTAGTTTACAACTAAATAATTTGCATATTCTGCAGCCTCGTCAAACACTGAATATGGGGGCCTTCAACGTGAGGACTGTGATGCAGGTGAGTCAACACGCTTGTCTTGCGCGTTCAATGGAAACCTTTAGGGATCGATATTTGCTGAGTGTCGGAGACTCGAATTCAGGATCCTGCTAATATAGGCCACTTGAGCGCGCCAGATTTGTCTTCGAGGTATGTGCTTCGCACATCCGGTGACCACGAACCCCGTGCCGTAGGTCAGCGCGGGGTGGGTATTGTATTCAATAACAGGGTGGTCCTATAGTATCAATTGGATCCCCATCAACAGTCGTTTATGTGCAGTGCGTCTCCAGGATTCGATTAGCGTCAGGAAGGGAAGTAAAGTCAAAAGGTGGTTGTTCATCCTATCGGCATATGTACCGACCAATTGCAGTTCTGATACACAAAAGGACGCTTTCTACGATGAACTCACCGATCTTATTCGGATTAGTCGAACCTTCGACATAGTTGTACTTGCAGGTTGGAAACCTGAACGCACCAGAAGCTTCCCTAGGCGGTAGTTGTGATCTTCTCTGCCAACGAAAAGATAATGGCGATCGACTTCTTCACTTCTGCACAGATCATCTTCTGTTCCTATCCGGTTGGAACTTCATCCGTAACTGAAGCTCCGTGGGCAGTGTCGTGCGATCCTCCGGTAGAAGCAGAAGTTCGGTTTTGTATTCAAGTTATGAAGGAAGGAACGGCAGCCGGACCGGATAAACTCCCACCCACTCTTTTCAAAATGATGAGAGGTGATAACCTCATAAGCTTTATCACTACCCTAATGCGCTACATTTGGACGCAAGAACGCATCCCTTCATCTTGGAGCGCATCACTGATCATTCCCATTTTCGAGAAAGGATCTTGCAGCAATTGTGAAATTCTACGCGGGATAAGTTTGATTCCAATCGTCACCAAAGTGCTAGCCTCGATTATACTTCAGCGACTGGCGCCTTAAGAGAGACCAACATCCGTGAACAGCAAAACGGATTCCGGCCTGGCCGTGGATGTATTGATCAACCTTGAGCTGCGACACACCAACCATGGACGAACGATCTTACTGTTCCTTGACCTGAAAGCAGCCTTCGAAAAGAAATGCCCCAGAAGTATGTTAACTTATTGAAGTCACTATACTCACATACCTCTGGTAGTGTTAGGGTTTACAATGAACTAAGAAGGCCCTTAGTCACTAGTAGCGGCGTTCGACGAAGGTGCCCCCTTTCGCCGTTCCTGTTCAATTTCGTCGTAGACAAAATACTGGATGAAGCACGTAGCAGTCTCCAAAATGTAGGTATTGAATGGGCAGCGGGAGAAGAACTGCGCGATTTGGAGGACGTCGATGACATGGTCTGACTGTTCGAATGTACGCAGGACGTCCAAAGCGCAACTGCTGTTGCCACATTTAGTTTGCGCTTCGCACTTTCAAAGAGCAAAGTGATACTGCAGGAGTGGGTCTCGACGAGTCCCGCTCTGAAACTAAGTGAGCTCGAATTAGTTATGGTGGATTACTTTTCCTACTTAGGTAATTCTGTGGCCAATGACAGTAACACAACAAACGAGGTAACCACCCACATTTCCCAAACTCGAGCATGTACGTAGGACTGAAACACCTTTGGCGTAAAGGTGATGCTTCACTGAAGTTGAAAGGTCGTGTTTGTTGTGCTAGCGTTCGTTCTCCTCTATGGTTGTGAAACCTTGAATTTGCGAGTAGAAGATATCCATCGACTAGAAGTTTATTGGTGTTTGGCCCACGTGCGATAGAGCGAATGGGTTAGTAATCCGGAGGTAAGTCCTCGTGTGTTTGGGAGTCTATCAGGGGTAAACCTGCTAGCACACAGAATTCACATTAGTAGAGTTCGCTGGCTGGGGCACGCATTGCGTATGCCGAGCTGTCGCCTGCCGCTCTGCGCTTTATTCGCTGAAGCCGCTCCGCGTTGGAGGAAACCACGTGGGAACGAGGCATGAAGAAATGCACAGAGCCATTAGGTAGAGTAAGTGTTTCACACCCTCGTGGTTGGGGTCCGAAAGACTTCATCTGGTTGGTTGGGGACGTTGAAGGATATGGCAGCGAACTGAACACATTGGCGTTCCTGTTGTCATTTCTCATCAGACCAGAACGCTTGAAAAGGTACGTATGCAGAGTTCGATCGTGTACTCTGTCTGTTGACCATAAAGGTTCGCTTTCCTTCTACTCCATCAAAATAGTTCCAATCCCTGTCTAAGTTACATATTCTCACTAACTTTGCATGCATTTCCTGTTTGGCAGTTATCGCATTACTGTATTTAGTTGTACGATGATGATGATGACACGATGAGCAATTGTGGAGCATTCAGACCACAGATATAGAAATATTCTTTGTTGCAGCGTTTCGTTTCTCATTGAAGGTCAACCACTACCAGTGAAACGGTAGCGTATAACGTTTTTCCCCGCCGTTCTATCTAAGGCAGATCATGATTGGTTCCGTTTCCGATACCGGAATAGCGGATTTAGCATACGGTTAACCTGAAGGATAAATTGCTGTTCGTTCGCATTTACCACGAATCGAAATGATGTGGTTAAACAAGGCCTGATTTTCGTGTCTTCAATAGGTGTCAACCGAGTAATGGTAATGAGTGCCCCTAGTTGCATTTTGGGATTGCGGGGTGGGATTTCAGGCGATAAGATGAAAATGAGTGTGACTTATTTCAGTGGGTGGGATTTTCCATTTTTGCGCAAAGATTAGATAGATAGAAAGATAGATAGATAGATGGATGGATGCATAGGCAGATAGATAAATCACACCAAACGTGTACTACCGAAGGGCACATCCTCATTGAGACCCAGAACTGGGGCATATGAATTACAGATTCCTTCAAAGAGGATGAACTCCGACCAACAGTGTGCTCACTTTCTTTCAGCGATTCTAAGTGAGAATGAGGATAACTAACAAATCACGGGAGCTATCGCTTGAACCTATGAGATATTTTGCGCAACGTGTTTAGCCAGTCAACCAATCAATCGTTGGCAAATGGAAGAACCAATGATTAAGATGATGTTCCCGTGGCTGTACTTATCGAACGACTATCCAAAGTCTTTCAGTGAGGCGCATTATTTGATCCACAAGACAACATCAAGGTGGAGCAATTGCCTTGGTTTATCAACCGGATACGATACGCACAGCTCAATTTTGTCGATAAGGACCAGAAATTGGTTTCAACCGAAGTTTGAGGATTTATGGTCGAAGAAGAAAAGCAGAGTTACCAAACGGAAAATTCGCCGATTTCAACCTTACGTGTGTGGACGAGAATCGTTGAGNATCGTTGAGTTAAAAATGCTTACCTTCGGTCGAATAGGTGTCCGGATTGCACGCGTAGTAACGACGCGAAAAATGTAGCAGTATTCGTTCTCGTTCCTGAGATTCACCGGTCAGCGAGAACGTGTTCAAGAATGTACGCAACGCGGTGTCCACACGTTGGTTGGTAAAGTCAAACAGACTGGCAAACTCTTCCCCGACCAGTTGACTGAAGTCGTNNNNTCGTTCCTATCAAGAGCAGACAGAAAGACGAGGAAGGGGGAGGGGATAAATTGAGTAACGAGTGAAGAACAGATACGGTTTTTTCAGTTGTTGTTTCCAACGGAAAAAAGCGGATCCGACAGAAATACTGGTATATCGATAATTTGTTTCGCATCGCTGCCCATCAAACACGAGCGGTAGTGGCAAAAGTGTGGCTGGTGGATGACACATTCGTTCGTGACAGAATGCACACTGATAATTTTTTTGAAGATGGTTGGGAAAAAGACTGCTTTCCATACTCGTAGTGGGAAAGCAGTGGACTGGAAGTTGCACAGACATATTACTCTTACAAGATAGCAAACGAGAAAAAAGTGATTGGTCATAGACAGGGAGAAATAGGGCTTACCTTGTCATCAAGTATGTGACACTTAAAATATTTCGCCCGGATAGGATTCATATTAAATTCTTATGTGAAGTGGAATGATGGTTTATGATTGATGCATATCCTACAGGGTGAATAAAACGCTGAAAGTTGTCGGCTGATACCGAGATACGTTTCGACATCAACGTTTGATTCAATCACGTGCTATATATTAAGACTAATTATATCAACATAAACAAAAGTTCGTACCTCTCTCTCTCTCTAAGTGGAAGATTTATTTAGACTAAACGTCACCTCGTGAGGTACTGATGAAATTAACGCTGCTTACAGAAACTTAAGTCACGAAACCTTCCATCTGGACGGTTTAATGCAGATGAGTCCCCTGCGGTTTACAATTACTCATCGTTCGTTACTACACAACTCGTTCATCACACGTTTCCAAATTCTACTTTCTCAATTGTATCGTGTACGATACGAAACAATAGCAAAATAGATTTACAAAGACGGGATCAGAAAGAAAATTAGGAAACTGACCACATTAGAGCTTAACATGAAGGCATAAAAATGGTGATCAGTGGAGACTGGATTACGTAGATTGTGCCAAGTTTCCGAACTGGAGAGAGACACAAGATGGTAAAACATCCAGTCGCAAATTCATTCACTTCATGTCCTATCTGACTTTCTCATGTCCGATCACGTTGTTTGTCCAACACATTCATTTATGCTTTTACCATGGTTGACTGAATGCCCATAACAAAGGAAGACAACAAAAAACGGAACATGGTTAGATGATCGAATGTACAAGCTTCGGGCGGAACTTGTGTTGAAAGCGGAGCCACTAGGTATGGAATTTTTAAACAGACGTTTGCCGGCCCCGTCGAAATTTCAAACATCCTTTTTTCTCGCACGGTTAACGGAGCATTCCTCATCAACGATCACTTTAGAAGCATTCATATTGACTGATGCGGACCCAGCGGATGCAGAAACGGTGCCAGGTTAGTGTAAGACGATAAAAGCTAGTATATAAGATGATCACTGAGAGGCTTATCATCAACTATTCTGGTTCCATTTGAAATTACCTTTCGTATTGGCAGCATGTATGAATCATTAGTTGATCCACAGTTGATGAGATTCACGACGAAATTATAATCCCGTGTATGTAGTTGCAGTACAACCAAACAAATATTTCTAAGATTACAAATCGATGGCTGTCTTGTTGTTGCTATTAAGAGGAGGAAAGTCTTATTATCAATACAAATGGGGTAAATAACGTGTCGCGGTATTTAGACTGAGCTCGACTGAGTTTGACTTCCGTGAGTCCAAATCCATATGGTGACCAAGTACGAACGATCGACAACAACAATGCGAGGGGATCCTGAAGGACAATCCGTCTCGGATAGTTAATCTCTCTACAATACGCGACCAATTACAGAGAACTGGCAAATGTGCCACAACATGAGAACAGAAAGAAGAAGAATGTGTTCATGGGTTGTGTGGGCATGTTGCCACCCGGTCGCCCTGGTCGAGGAACGGGAATAGCCTCGGGGTCTCCAACCCGAAACCTTTGGCTAGAAAGCCAGACCTGCAAGGCAACAGGACGGAGCTCAGAGTCCGAGGTCCAGTCCGCTGGATAATACGCCCTTTGGACGGGGTCAAACGTCCAAGGTGCCCAATACACCGCAATAACCAACTGAGTCGGTAAGCAATGCCGCGACCAGGAAGGTGTGCGTGTGGTTCGTATGTCTCTCAATCATCAAAGAAATGGGAGTGATCTCAACTCATTCTTATATTTTCCACATATCCTCACTTGGGCACTTGGCTTTCAAATTGGCAGTTCGCTGACTTCCTTTCACACGAAAATACAGTTTATCTGCGACGGCATTTTGTGTATTGATGGGTAAAGAACGCTGACCAGCTGTTCCGCCCTTAGGCAGACTTAACAGGAACAAGTAACAATACGCTAGTTGTGTCTCGACTGAAACTCGAGACGAGCTAACCTGTCACATGTCATCCTCAGAGTACACCGAAATTGCACAGTGAAGTGAGCCTCGTACATCGTAACCAAACTCGCAAGGTATGCAAAGTTAGTGAGAATAAGTAACTTGGACAGGGACTGGACCTGTTTTGGAGGAAGGGAAAGAAAGTGAACCTCTATGGTCCGCACACAGAATACGCAATCGGACTATGTACACAAACCGATTCAAGCATTTTGGCCTGATAAGAAATGACAACAGGAACGCCACTGCTATCGGTTTACTTCCATGTACCTAAGTGTCTCCAACCAACCAGATGAAGTCTTTCGAATACCAACTCGGAAAGTGGGAGGCACCTACTCTATCTAATGGCTCTCCGTATTTCTTTATACCTTGTCTTCCCGTCATATGTTGACCTCTACGTGTTTCCCTCCAAACGGGAGAGGTTTTAGCGAATAAAGCGCGGCGCAGCAGATGAAAGCTAGGCATGCGCAATACGTGCACTTATCAGAGAAGCCTACTCATGTCAATTTGATGAGATGTCAATCTTATCCTCGATAAACTCTCAAATAGACAACGGCCTAACTCCACTGGCGATGGAGTAGAAATAATTCTAGTTAAATACGCGTCTGGAAAAGCGAGCGTTTATCCAAGAGAGACAGAACACGTGATCATAAGCTGCGTGATGGGTCACAGACAGCAATCTACAATGGTCTAAAAGTTTGATCAGAAAATCACTCCTGTTTTACATGGCCGCTTATAACATGACGAAGGATTGTTGCCAGGAAAAGGTAGTACGTGTAACAATTGTGCATGTAAGAATATTATACATAAATAAAAACTTCTAACCAAGGTGTTGCTAGGGCCGACGGAAGCATATCGACAAAAAAGGTGTGCAAATTAAATATTTCCCGTGGGTTTGGGACCTGAGTTAAGATGGGTAATTTCCAAGCCGCATTTTTAAGGCACTAATGATCTATGCGAACGTCCAGGTGCTTGAACACCTGTACGTACATCCATGGGACAATTAATCCAACCACATTTTACGGGATGAAAAGAGCTCCAAGGCCAGAAGTGACGAATTAGAGAGCGGTACGGAGAATTGAACTCGACTAAAGGAAAGTAGAAAGTTTCGAACAGTTACAAGTAATGAGTATGCATTTTCAACTGAAGAGGTTTGCATATCAAGCCTTCATCAGGATTCAAACGGAGTTGCTTATCATGCGCACAAGTGTAATCATGAAGATCAACTGGAGAAATTCGCAATCGCTTAGTTATGAGCTGCCGAGAACGACATTTATCCAGCGGATAAAGTAGAATTAAGCGTAGCAAACCACGCGTGCATCCATATGCTATGCTCCGATGACTGGCCAATTAGGCGTACCATAGTGCGGTAAGCATTCACTAAGAACACATGATGCATGGAATACTGATAACTTGGATGGTTTGGAACGATAAAAAACTGGCTGTTTTGGGCTTATTGGGATGTTACCTCCGACAGCCTCAATATGGTCAGGGGTAGGTATATAGGGTTGCGGCTATCTACTCATCCCTTGCACCTCGCGAAAGGCTTCCATACGATCAAGCGTCTCAAACAGCCTGTGCTGAAGCAGCCCTACTCACAGCCTTCCCGTGGCCGAGATGTTTACAGGTCAAAGTGAGAGGACGAAAAGCCAACATCCGAGGCTATCACGGGGCTGAGGAACCACTGGCAGTTCACCTCGAGGAGTTAGCTAAAAACCCTGATTACAAACCAACCACGAAAAGGCGTACGAACCACACGCCCAGCTGCCTCGCAGCTATAAACTAGCCAGGAAAATTTATCTGCCTCGGCCTGAGCAAACCGGCAGTATTCAGTCCACCAAGAAATCTTGGAACTTTCTGCTTTTTATAAAAATTATTGTGCTATGATTTGTTTGGCACACAGTCTAGATTCAGATGTGTGTGAAATACGTGTTAAGATGTTAGCAAGAATACTACCAACGGAGGAACTAAGTAAAACATTTGATTTGACTAGGCGATTCGCAGACGAGCACAAATCGCAATAAATACTGCTCATTGTTGTCCCATCACTGAGCTACCGAGTACACATCCAAAAATTCGGATGATAGTTAAAACTCAACCTAGTAGTGGTTACAATCAATCCACCTCGTGAACTGACCATTTTAGACAGATAGGCAGTGCGGTCACCAAGATGGACTGAATGTGGGTCGTAGTGCCACCAAACCGAATGACGCGCATCGTATGACTGATAATCTGAGTTACCACTCTTATTTATACTACAGAAATGCATGAGTTCACGTGAAACCGTAGGAGAGAGAGCGCGCAATCCTGTAGACGAAAATAGTGCAGAGATGAGGAACAGCCTCTGCGCCCGAAATGTGTTTTTTATTATAGCTGCTTACAAACTGGTCGTGCTCGCACAACCTGGTGTGCTTTAACAACACACAAACACAAACAGACCACTAGCACTAATTCGAATCACTTCGGTAATGTTGCAACTGGGTCAGTCAATATCAACCGAACGCACAAGCATTACATGATTGACGAACTTTACATTAGTGGGTGGGGGTGGTTTCTGTAGTCAGAGACGAAGTAGTGCGAAGAAACAAACTTTGTTAATACATTCAACACACTGTGGAAGGATTTTTATGCGGTAATGCAGAGAAAGATACCATCTCTGGGCGATAACGGTGAGCAAGCTTCGCGAAAGTGTGGAACAGCACTAGTTAATCAAATCATTGCTATCATACACGAGCTTCTGTGACAAGGAGTTACGCGCAGCAAACACAACCCATTATCCATCATCGTCTAAAGACGACGTGCAGCAGTGCGCGCGCTGATTTGGGACTGATCAGTATCGATCGATCGATGAATGAATGGGCTAACCGAGATGATGTTTAGAAATCTGTAGCTGTCACAAGGACGCCAACCCCACCCACTCTCCCAACCCATCTCCCGTAACGATTGAGGTTACAAATTGCTTTTGTGAATCACGAATTACCACCATGGACTGGTAGAAGCGCACGTGCCTCGTGAGATCTTGTGCGTTATTCGGGTGGATGTTAATTCGAAAATGAGCACGCAAAATGTCTCCTAATC